ATATACTGATGCCAGCTTCCAAACTGATAGAGATGACTTCAAGTCGCAGGCAGGGTATGTGTTTTGTTTGAATGGCGGAGCTGTTACCTGGAAGAGTTACAAGCAAGATACTACCGCTGATTCCACTACAGAAGCAGAGTACATGGCTGCAGCCGAGGCAGCCAAGGAAGGTGTGTGGCTCAAGAATTTTATTACTGAGCTTGGAGTGGTTCCTAGCATCAAGAACCCTATACCGTTGTTTTGCGACAACAATGGGGCAATTGCACAAGCGAAAGAACCTCGGTCTCACCAGAAGACCAAACACATCGTTAGACGTTATCACATCATACGAGAAATCGTTGCACATGGGGACATTGAGATTTGCAAGATAGGTACAGACGACAATATCGCGAATCCGTTGACGAAGGCTTTGGGAAAGCCTAAACACGAGAGTCATACGTGGTCCATGGGCATTCGAGAAAGGCTTGATTGGCCTTAGGGCAAGTGGGAGATTGTTGTATTTAGGTGCCCTAGCGGCAATCAAATACCTATGTAACTGTACACTTTATCATGAATGAAAGGCCTTGAAGTATGTTTTATATCTCGTGTAACATAACATAGCTTCAGTCCATAGACGATAGCGCTTTAGTAACATAGATGATGACTACGATGTTCTGATTATGAGACTGTTACTTCTTGACGAAGGCTATGTCTAGAATATCCCTAGTCGCACTTTATGATAATACGAACGTCATAACGTATCAAGACTAGTACGTACGAGATGAGATAGTTGCGTCTCATAGACTATAGGTATTGTGATATCTTAATCTGTACATAGATGCATATTATATCGATAATATGTGACTAGATTGACCCATCTTGAGAATACTGCATGGATCTACAGTAATGTGTTTATCAGTATTCTCAAATCGACCTTGCTATAACTATTCTCAGACTTGAGGTTATTACATTCTCTGATATGTGGGGCCGTATGCTTTGATTCAAAACTAATGCTATCTGAAATACTGGTAGACGTACAGTTATGCGTTGGGTATGCCGCTAAGCATATTTAGAGATGTGAATAACAGATACAGGATCTGTCCCTTCTACTGTATAGAAGTATAATGTCAATGGGCCCACTGAATAGTAGGACTTGGGAAAGTGCATGGCCATGCCGAGATATGTCACTATCTAGAGACTGATAAATATCTGATCCCTGCCAGTTTACTTGAGATTCAGTAACAGCTGATTTAACTATACAAGGATACACATCCCATGCCTTGTGTTAAATCATGACATTTAGGACAAAAGGATAATAGTTATAGAATGTATTGTGTCGTAGAAGGTATTGATGAGATGAACGTCTTTTTCATAATCTGGGGGTAATAATGTGTTGCTAGATACCACTTATTATCTATGGTATTAATTTTATTAATATCATTTCCAGTGTTATGGATACCTAAAGGGTCACACATTTAGGACTTGTAAGGGAGTAGTATACTACACTAGTGGGAGTAATATTAAATATATAGTTGTGATAATTTTATATATATATATGTGTATTTCGAAAATACATATGTATTTTAAAATTATATTTTGTTTGTGTCATTTTAATTATATGATTATTATATTTTGACAAAACAAATTTTATTATATATATATATGTAGCGCCGATATATATATATATATATATATATATATATATATATATATATATATATATATATATATATATATTACTTTTATTTTCATCATTTTAATTATATGATAATTATTGATGTAAAAATAAAATGTGATGTATTTTAACATGCTATGGCCGAAAATATCAAAGGGAAAATACAAGACATAAATTGATTTTCTACCTAATGATATATTTGATTGATATAATCAAATATTTGATTAACAAAAGGATATTTGTCTTGTTGTGTTGGTTGGGGACATTACATTAAGCCTAATTTGTTTTGTCCCTAAGCTATTTCCTAGAAATTCATTTAAGTTGTTTATTATAAAATGAAAAACAATTCCTCCCCTTTTACACTTAATAGTTTCGGCCATCACAAGGAAGAGAGAAGAAAAATCCTATTTTGTGTTCAAAGTTATTTTTCTAAAGTGTTAGAAATATTCACAAAATATTATAAAGAAATATTTATAAGATAAATATTTTACTATATATTTATTACTCCCAAAGTAGTATTATTATAGTTTTTACTATCCTAAATTAAACTTGCTAGCACAAGTTTAATCTTGGACTCCGGAGCAAGTTCGTGTGGATACGTTGAAGGCTTCATACGTTTGGCGCTACGTTCATCTCATCAAAACCATCCCCGACCGTTCCCCCGTTCTTCGTTTTCACCGTTAAGGTAAATTTCTTACTATAGCTAGTAATTTACATAAGTTGTTCTTGGGTGGAATCGAGTTTTGGACTATAAATTTTTGTTTTCCGCTGCGTTATCCAAGCCTCGTTTCCCAACACCATGACCCATTTCACAAAGGTGGGAGGGAAGCCAATTCCCTGAAGTGTTTTCCTCAAGAAATCCCATGAGATTTTGTCATATGCTTTTGAGATGTCCAGCTTTAGCATACAGCAAGGGGGTGATCTCTTTCTAGCATACCCCCTAACCAAGTGTTGTACCAAAAGAATATTGTCCACAATGCTCCTGCCCTTAATGGAAGCAGCCTGGGCAGGATTAATGAGGCTAGGAAGTAGTCTAGTCATTCTGTTGGATAGGATTTTGGTGATTATTTTATAGACCACATTAGAACATGCTATGGGTCTATAATCTTTAGCACTAGGGTTCTCCCTGACCTTAGGAATGAGGACAACCAAGGCATGATTAATCTGCTTAAGTAGTCTCCCACTCAAAAAGAACTCAGAAACAGCTTCAAAAACAGTATCACCAACAATATCCCATTTCTTCTTGAAGAAGGCAGCAGTATAACCATCAGGGCCTAGGGCCTTATCATAACCAATGCTGAATAGGGCTTCTTTGACTTCAGTTCTATCCACATTCCTGACCAAATCAATTGCATCCTGGTGTTGGATTAGGGGTCCCTCTTTAAAGACATTCCAATCCACTGGGGTAGTAGGGACTGTATTACCAAAAATCTGATTGTAGTAACCAATGAATTCCTCAACAATAGCCTCCATAGAAGTAGTAGTAGTTCCTTGGGAGAAGATTTTAATAGCTTTTGCCAAAACATTGACAGAATCCACATTTCCCTTGCAAAACATCATCACATCATCAGCAAAAGTAACATGAGTAATACCCAGTTTGGAGCACCTGTTATGGAAAGTGAATCTGCTCCCATATAGCATTCTCCTGATCATCCTTGAGAGGTATTCCATGCAGAAAAGAAACAGAGTTGGGGCCATGGGGTCACCCTGTCTAATACCTCTTTTGCATTTAATGAAGCCATGCAAGCCTCCATTAATAGAAAGTGAGAAGGATGCAGTGGTAACACACTCCATGACCCATTTCACAAAGGTGGGAGGGAAGCCAATTCCCTGAAGTGTATTCCTCAAGAAATCCCATGAGATTTTGTCATATGCTTTTGAGATGTCCAGCTTTAGCGTACAGCAAGGGGGTGATCTCTTTCTAGCATACCCCCTAACCAGGTGATGTACCAAAAGAATATTGTCCACAATGCTCCTGCCCTTAATGGAAGCAGCTTGGGCAGGATTAAGGAGGCTAGGAAGCAGTCTAGCCATTCTGTTGGATAGGATTTTGGTGATTATTTTATAGACCACATTAGAACATGCTATGGGTCTATAATCTTTAGCACTAGGGTTCTCCCTGACCTTAGGAATGAGGACAACCAAGGCATGATTAATCTGCTTAAGTAGTCTCCCACTCAAAAAGAACTCAGAAACAGCTTTAAAAACAGTATCACCAACAATATCCCATTTCTTCTTGAAGAAGGCAGCAGTGCCTAGGGCCTTATCATAACCAATGCTGAATAGGGCTTCTTTGACTTCAGTTCTATCCACATTCCTGACCAAATCAATTGCATCCTGGTGTTGGATTAGGGGTCCCTCTTTAAAGACATTCCAATCCACTAGGGTAGTAGGGACCGTATTACCAAAAATCTGATTGTAGTACCGAATGAATTCCTCAACAATAGCCTCCAGAGAAGTAGTAGTAGTTCCTTGGGATGTAAGCAAAACAGGGATAGCATTTAACACACTTTGCTTCTTCACCATTGCATGGAAGAATTTTGTGCATTTATCCCCTTCATTAATAAAGTTACACTTCACCTTTTGTTGGAAAAAGGATCTTTTTGCATCAGAGTAAAAAGAGGCTTTCTTCCTGGTAATAGCAACAAGCTGGAGTAGCTCCAAGTTATCAGGGTCCTTGTAAAGCTTATCCATGAGGTCAGTATAGGATTTTCTAGCCTCTTCAGCCCTGGAAGAGATATGTGCGAAATCCTTGTTGTTCAACTGTTTGAGAGGATGTTTCAGCAACTTCAGTTTTCTGCAGAGTCTAAACTCTCTAGTACCATTAAACCTCATGTCCCATACATGCTTCAAAGTATTATCAAAAGAATCATGTTTAAGCCACATGATGAAGAATTTGAAGGGTTTAGGGCCATTGGTGGAGGATTGGATGAGGTGGAGCAGAACAGGACAGTGGTCAGATTGGAACTCCATGGGCTTAAATTCAGCCCAGCAATCCCACTGTAGAGCCTCCCATTCACAGTTCACCATCACCCTGTCCAATTTGGCCCATTTGTTCTCTTTGTTCCAAGTGAAGTGAGTACAAGTAGACTTGGCATCTATTAAATCATTATTAAGCCTAGAGTGCAACAGATCAGTCATATCATAAGCATAGGTGTGGCAGTTTAATCTCTCACTGGAGTTCAGAACTGAGTTAAAATCCCCCATAATGGCCCAAGGGGTCTTAATATTTACAGCAAAATCAGAAATTGTTTCCCATAATTGTCTTTTAACAGTTACATTGTATAGGGCAAAAACAAATGTAATGTGGAAGCATTTCTGGGAAACATTACACAAAATTCTGCAATGGATAAATTGATCTCCAACATCCAGAACAGTACAAGTAACAAAAAGTGGGTTCCATATAACAGCCATTCTCCCATCATCAATCATAGCAAAATTATCAGTTGAAGACCAGGAAGGGAGTTTGTTGTGGAGGAAAAGTTTAAACTTGGCTTCAGACATTTCGGTTTCCAAAATACAGCTTAAGTGCACGCCAAGATCCAAAATATATTTACATAAAAAGTTTTGTTTAGAGGGCCTATTAAGCCCCCTAAAGTTCCAACAGAGTACCTTCATCAAGAGTTAGGGCCAGGGCCCCTTCCCCTACCTCTGTTTGCACCCCCCCTGTTTCCATGGTTGTGTCCACGTCCACTGCTTCTAGTTTCCCTTCTGAACTGTGGTTGTTTGTTGCCATTGTTGAAGTTTGCTTCCTTTAGAGGATGTGTAGTGAGGGATCCCCTTCCTTTTCCCACAAGTGTGAAACCATCATTGTCATCCTTTTTGAAGAAGGAGGGTGAGGGTTCATTGGGGTCAGCAGGTTTCTCCCCACCTTTAGTACCTTCCAGAACCTATTTTCCTTATTGGTTTTGTTTAGGCTTCTCCTTCTCCTTGTCATTATCAGCCAAGAGAGATGTTTTCATAACTTCAACTCTAGATTTGTCCAAGGCTCTTTGTTCTTCAACAGTTTCCTTTCTCTCCATTTCATGGAGATCAAAGCAGTCAAAGGGTGTGTGTCCAAACTTCTCACAATGGTAACAGTAAAGAGGCAGGTCTTCATATTCCACATGCTGCATATAGCTGCCTCCCACAAAGTTGACCTTCACAGAGGAGGGAGGGGGTTTGAAGATCACCCAGCCCTTATGGTGGGGTAGAAATTGGCAGGGCACTTTCCATGATTCCACAAAGGATTGAATGGGGGAAAGGCTAGGGAATCTTCCAGTGAAACACCCAACCAGGCATGGTCCCCAAAGCTTCTCCATAGGTGTAACATCTTCAGGCTGAATAAAAACCTCATCTTCAGCCATGTCCACCTGATGAAGCTTCATTCCTTTTTCCTCTGATCTGTTCCTTTCAAACAATGATGCAAAACTCTTCTTCTCTTTTGGTGTATCATCTTTATTGGCAGGAGCATTGCCATCAGTCTTCCCAATCACATTCCCACTGTTTATCCCACTGTCTTCCTTCCCAGCAGTTGCATCATTGGGTAAGGAATTTTCACCATTATTGATACAACTCTTTTCCTTCTGTAAATGTTGCTCAATCCTCTCCTCATCAAGAGAAGGGGTCTGTGATTCAGAGCCACCATCATCTTCACCCGTGACCTCACCAGGTTTAGTACAAGGAAGAAAATCCTCCTCAGTCATGATCGGGAAGTTGTCCACATTCTCAGCATAATCCACATCATCAGATAAATGATTTACAATGAAAGAGTAGAAGTTGTGAAGTAATGTGATATGTAAAACAGACCCAAACACCCCATTTTATAGGGGAATAATAGGATCTAATGGATTAAAACATTTAGGGGGTGATTGGCACAATTTGTGGGATTTGATTAAATTTGGATCTGCTGAAATTCACCGAGACAGTGCTGTCCTAGGCTTGGACATCGCTGTTCTAGGCTTGGTTTTGAAAATTGGGAAGCAACGGTCATGCCAACAGCGATGTCCAAAACCCCTACATCGCTGTTTTAACTGTTGACTTCCAAACAAGGAAAGTTTTAGCCTTAAATTCCTTCCAAGAGTCAGGTGCATACATCGATGTTCATTGCTTGAACATCACTATTTAGGCATGACTTTGAAAGTGAAAGAAATGGCCTGATAGCGCTGTTGCTGGGTCGACATCGCTAGCCAAAAACTTTCTGCCAATGTAATTGTTTTTGGCTTAGGTTGGACAACGATGTAGAGAAGGCTACATCGCTGTTCCAGATGTTTTTGGAAGCCCAACCTTAGCTCAACAGCGATGTCTAAAATCTAACATCGTTGTTGGAAGACTTAACGCCAAACCATGGTTTTCAGCTTAACATGCCAGACAGCGCTGTTGGTTACACCAACATCATTGTTGGGCTGGTTTAGTCAGACCAATGGTTGGTTAAGTCAGCCGTTAGCTGATGTCAATAATGTAAGTTCTCCAAAATGAAAACCAAGTGTTTAAAACATTTTTTTGATGCATTTTGCTAAGAAATCAAGTAAAGCATCTTGAAAAACACGTCATTTAGTTGAAAACCATGGCTAGCGATGTTTGAGCCGTTTCGCATAGTTTTCACTAAACGACTAAAAGCGAAAGGTGGTTTTTGAAGCGTTTTCGTTGGAGAACTATTTACATATGCCCGGAAGTAAAAACAAATCATAAAAATTTGAAAACCACTTGGTTGGTTCAGACACCAAAAACCAACGCCGATAACCGAGAGCCGAACGCTGGTTTCGAAAGCCGAACGCCGGATGGCTTGGTTTTTGGTTTGGGCGAACTCCAAGTGTTTTTAGGCATGTTTGAAACTTAAGAAAAAACATTTTTGAATATGCAAAAAGTATTTTGATGAAATGAGCCTAGAGAGCCAAGTTTTGAAAGTTTGTGCCGGTCTTGATCACATTTAGACCGACTCAATACAATTCTAAGTCTTCGTTCTTGATTCTTGGTTCCTGGATCTCAAATCATCATGCCATGTTCCTTCGCCTTTGATTTGCTCAGTTTAGTGTTTGTTGTCACGGCAGTTTGGCATTATCAAAACCTGTCATAAAACGAACAGAGTTTAGTACGATGTGGGCGTAAACCTGTGTTCCACTAATTTCCCCCTTTTTGATAATGGCAAACAAGACGGGGATATGCATACTAAGGGGTATTTTATTTTCCAAAAGTTGTGAAAAAGTTCCCCCTTAATATGTGCTTTAAAACAAGTAGTCGGATTTAAAATCAAGCGGTCTCGTTTTTAGAGACGTTCCCCCTTAGTATATGCATAGCCCTTTTTTTTCCTCTTTTGACATTAACAAAAAGATAAGAGATAATTTTATTTATTAAAGTTGGGAAACAGTGGAGTACAACGGAATCATTAAAAAACATGATAATTAGAGGAAGAGAGATAGAAATTCTAGGGGAGCCCTAGTCTTCGTCTTCAGTTTCCTCCTCGTCGTCCTCGTCGTCCATCTTATCCCCATCGATGGCATTGTCAAACTCATCTTCGTCAGGAGAGCTTGACGGGGCGTAGGAGGCATCGTCTTCGTCCTCATCACCGTACACTTGCCCAAAGAACGTGCCATGGTACAGTGGGGGGACGTAGTTAACGCGTTCATGGCGTACCCTTGGCGTTGGACCTCCTCGTCAAGCCTCTCAAGGTAGCCATCCATCCCGTCAACTTTGAGGTGAAGGAGGTTGAGGGAGTGGGCGATGGAGGCAAGGTTGGCCCGGGCCTGGGGTTCGGCTGGGCCTCGGGTAGTGGCAGTGCAGCGTGGCGCGGGAGTGGCAGGCGCGACATTGTCCGATCGCTTTGTGAAGGTTTGGGCGCTGATCATCCAAAGCTTCGTGGCCTTCGTGAGCCGTCCAACGGTGGTGGTGACCTTGAACCGTTCAAGGATGTCCATCAAAAGGAACGGGTACGGGAGGAGGTGATCGTGGTCGGTGGATGCGGAGACCGTCATGTTGATCATGACAAACTTTGCCTAGTTTATTGGCGCTGTGTGCATGATCGCATGTAGAAGCTTGAGGTCCTCACCGGACATGATAGTATGCCTGTGTTTTCGGGGCTTGATGATCCGGGACACGATGTAGAGGAGTAGACGGCTCTCGGGGTTCGCGGAGTGGATGGTGGGGCGGCCCGAGGCATGGCAGATGATCTCGGTGATTCCAAGCTCATCGAGGATAAGTCCCTCATTGTTGAGCACCCAGTCCTCTCTGACATAGTGAGTGACGTCGTCTCCTTGGTAGGGGAGGCCGGGGATGCGCCCAAGCTGCTCAATGGAAAGCTCAGTCGGCGTGCTCTTGACAAGGGAGTAGAGCACGTCGTCCTCACGTCGGAGGTTAGAGTAGAAGACCCGAATCAACGCTGGGTTGATCTCCTTCCAAGCCCGGGAGATGACCGGCCAAAGGCCGGTTTGGTGAAGCTACGCGTCTAGGTCGTCGTAGCCCTGCAACTCCGGGAAGCGCTCCGGGACAATCCGCGGTGGAGCCACAACCCGTTTAGAGAAGAAGGTGATAAAACGGGTGCGCTCCTCCTCAGAATCGAACTAGAGGTACGATCCATCGCTGTAGTAGAGGCGTTCCTCAGAGGACGTTGCTCGAGCCCAGGATTTGGACTTTGATTTCCCGGAGGTGGCAACCCTGCTCTTGTCTTTGCTCATGAATTATGCAAAGATATGGAAGAGAATTGTGTTTGCGTGTGTTAAAGTGGAGAGAGGGGGTCCCAATTTATAGAAAAAGAGGTTCCCAATGTCCAGAATTTCAAAAATTGGTTGTTGGAGCAATTAATGCAGCTTCCAACGTTTTTTTTTTTGAAAAAATCAGTTTGAACAGCGATGTTTCAAAAGCTACATCGCTGTCGGGACAGTGCTGTTGAGCCTCTGGACAGCGGTGTTTTGCGTTAAGTTTTAAAAACAAGTGTCAAATGGACAGCGATGTTGGGTATCCTACAACGATGTTCCCAAAGTTTCTGGAAATGTGTAAGGGTTTGCACCCATTAGAAAAACGTTGTTGAGTTTCCCTCCATCGCTGTTTTACAATAAGAAAAAAAATTCTAAAAATGGACAGCGATGTTGCAAAGAGGGACATCGATGTTTGAAAAGTTTTTGGTTTTTGGTTAAAAACAAGGTGTTTTAGACAGCGATGTTGAAAAACGGGACTGCGCTGATGAAAAAGATTCTGGAAAGTGTAAGGAAAAGGGAACTCCCTGGGACAGCGCTGTTGGTGTATTATACAGCGCTGTTGGCTCAAGCTGGTTGACGGTGTTTCCTTCAACAGTGCTGTTAGGTCTTCTGGACAGCGCTGTAGGCATGGTTCCCCCTGATTTTATGAACGGGGTACCTACAAAAAAGAAAAAGTTCTCCGACGCTCAAGTTAGTAAACGTTTAACAAGTTAAGATGCACAACTTAGATCATCGTGGAGTCAAGGATTCCGAGTTCACTACGAATGCGGAAGAACGACTCTTTCTATAAAGGTTTTGTGAAAATATCGGCTAATTGGTTGTGTGTTTCAACGAACTCAATTTCGACATCACCTTTGAGAACATGATCTCTAATGAAATGGTGCCTAATGTTAATGTGTTTCGTCCTTGAATGAAGAACGGGGTTCTTCGTCAAGCTTATGGCGCTAGTATTATCACAATGAAGTGGAACGTGACTGATACTAAGGCCATAGTCCACGAGTTGTTGCTTCATCCAAAGGATTTGAGCACAACAACTACCGGCGGCTACATATTCCGCTTCGGTTGTGGATAACGCAACACTGACTTGTTTCTTACTAAACCATGAGACTAAAGAGCTACCAAGTAAGTGGGAAGTCCCACTCGTGCTTTTAGGGTCCAATTTGCAACCGGCAAAGTCCGATTCGGAATAACCAACGAGATGACAAGAAGAGCCTTTTGGATACCACAATCCAACATTAACCGTTTCAAATTTGTATTTCATGATCCGTTTCACCGCCGTTAAGTTCGATTCCTTCGGACATGATTGATACCTTGCGCAAAGGCATACGCAAAACATGATATCTGGCCTACTAGCGGTAAGATAGAGAAGGGATCCGATCATACCTCGATACTTTTTGACTTCTACTTCCTTACCTTTCTCGTCTTTGTCAAGATGGTGTTGTCCATTTCAAACCGTTTTAGGAGCTCCTTGCAATATTTAGCTTGGCAAATGAATGTGCCATCTTTCATTTGCTTGACTTGGAGTCCCAAAAAGAATGTGAGCTCGCCCATCATTGACATTTTGAATTCACTTGTCATTAACGTTGAGAATTCCTTGCACAAAGACTCGTTAGTAGCACCGAATATAATATCGTTTACATAAACTTGAACCAAAAGGATGTTATTGTTTTTACTTTTGATAAAAAGTGTAGTGTCAACCTTTCCCCTTTGGAAACCACTATCCAAAAGAAATTTACTCAAACATTCGTACCAAGCACGGGGTGCTTGTTTAAGACCGTAGAGCGCTTTCTTGAGTTTGAAGACATGGTCGGGAAACTCAAAGTCTTCAAACCCCGGGGGCTGGTCAACACACGCTTCCTCTTGAATAAAACCATTTAGGAAGGCACTCTTAACATCCATTTGATAAAGTTTAAAATCCATAGACGAAGCAAAAGCAAGAAGTAAACGAATAGCTTCTAAACGTGCTACGGGTGCATAAGTTTCTTCAAAATCAATGCCTTCTTCTTGCTTGTAGCCTTTAGCTACGAGCCTAGCTTTGTTTCTAGTGATTATTCCATTTTCATCAAGTTTTTTATGGAACACCCATTTCGTACAAATAATCGTACAATCATCGGGCCTTGGCACCAATTCCCAAACGTCATTCCGTTTGAATTGGTTTAGCTCCTCTTGCATAGACAAGGTCCAAAGTTCATCGTTTATTGCTTCGGAAATGGTTGTAGGTTCAATTTGAGAAACAATGTCCCTAAGTGAGTTACGAGTACTTACCCCGCGGTTGATGCTGCCGATTACCTGGTCAAGTGGATGGTTCTCGTTCGTTCTCTAAGCGATGGGAAGCTCGGTTTCCTCTTGTTCCTGGGCTTCCTCGTGTTCTTCTTCGTCTGTTTGGTCCTCATTTTCGACCATCACTTGAGGTGTTTCCTCAGGTTGTGCTTGCAGGTTGGTGTATAACGGCGTGTCTTCTTCATCGTCTTCAACGTGTAATTTTTCAAGTGAATCTGCAAGATCATCACAAATAGCCTTTCTCGCCAAGCGAGTATTATCTTCGGAAAACACAACATGAGGGGACTCCTCAATAGTCAAGGTGCGTTTATTAAACACTCTATAGGCCTTGCTACGTAGAGAATAGCCAAGAAAAATCCCCTTGGCCGACTTGGCATCAAATTTTCCCAAGTTATCTTTGCCGTTATTATGAATAAAACATTTGCAACCAAAGACTCAAAGATGGGAAAGGTTTGGCTTTCTCCCTTTGTATAATTCATAGGGCGTTTTCATGAGTATCGGTCGAATGACGGCTCGGTTTAACACGTAGCTCGCGGTACTCACGGCATCTGCCCAAAAATACTTAGGGATTTTTGCCTCATTGATCATAGTTCTAGCCATCTCTTCGAGGCATCTATTTTTACCTTCCACCACTCCATTTTGTTGTGGTGTACGTGTGACTGAGAAGTTATGATCAATGCCAAGTTCGTCACACAAATATGAAAATAGATTTCGTTCGAACTCTCCCCCATGGTCGCTTCTTATGGCTACTATGGTTGTGTCTTTTTCATTTTGAACTTTCTTTAGAAAATATTTGAAAACATGAAATGCCTCACTTTTATGAGTAAGAAACAAGGTCCATGTAAACCTAGAGTAGTCATCGACAATCACAAACGCAAAGTAACTACAACCAAAACTCTTCGTTCTAGAAGGACCAAAGAGATCCATGTGCAAAATTTGAAGCGGTCTAGACGTTGAAACAATGTTTTTAAACATAAACGAAGCCCGAACTTGCTTCCCCTTTTGACATGCATCACAAATGGTGTCTTTTTCAAACTTGAGTTTTGGAATGCCAATTACTAAGTCTTGTGAAACCAATTTATTCAAGAGGTTCATGTTCATATGAGCTACTCTTCGGTGCCATAACGAAGTGTCTTCCTCTTTACTCATGAGGCACTTAGCGAAGCCAGAAGGAGATTTGTCTAAGTTAACCATATAAATATTATCGATTCTATCACCACGTAGAATGACCTTATTGTCACTAAGGCGTTCTACCGTGCATGATTTTGAGTCGAAGGTCACACGATTTCCCTTGTCACATAATTGACTTATGCTCAAGAGATTGTGTTTAAGACCTTTAACAAGCAAGACATTATCTATAGAGGAGTTTTCAGATTTACTTACTGAACCAATGCTGATAATCTTTCCCTTGCTATTGTCTCCAAAAAATACGTTTCCTCCTTTAGCGGGTTTAAGTTGGAGAAACTTGGACGCATCCCCGGTCATGTGCTTGGAGCATCCGCTATCAAGGTACCAAAGTACACTTGATGCCTTCAAGCACACCTATGAAACACATCAATGAGTTTTAGGTACCCAATTTACGTTGGTCCTCGTGTGTTAGGTGTGTGATGGTAGTGTGCTTGATTTTGTGATAGGTGCCTATGCCTAGTGTAACAAACGGGAGCATTATGGCCTATCCTATTACAATAATGGCAAACTACGTTGGGGTTGTCTATGTGCCTAGGTTCATAATAGTTAGAGGGTTTAACCATTTTGTTCCTATTTTGTGAAAAAGATGGTCTTTGAAAGTTTTGAAATTGAATTATTCTAGGTGCTCTAACATTATTTCTTCTATCTTGAGAAATGTCGGTTTTATGCACAAAATCATTTTTCTTAGGTTGTCTACCATGAACATTTTCTTTCCCAGGTTTTAGTCTAGGTTGTCTGGTGTCCTTAGGTTGACTAGGTTTTCTATTTTCCTGATTTCTAGGTTTATTATGTTGAGCCTTAGATGGTTGTCTAGGTGGTGGCTCAACGTTTTCTTTAACCTTAGCTTCATTTTTATTAAAACCTATTCCTTAGAAAAATGCATAGTGTCAAGAAGCAAATTTAAATCTTTGTGAGGAGTATTAAATTTCTTGACCGTGCTCTCAAGTTTAGTGACTTGTTCTTTTAAAGCTTTACAAGACTCACATTCACTTGAGGAACTTTCTGGTTTGTCAACGCTTCTTTTTCCAAAAAATTTGTTTTCTTGTTTTTATTTTTCATTGTCTTTTTCCAATTTTTCAAAATTGTTTTCAAGTGTAGAAAGACGTTTCATGAAGTGCTTCTTGCATTTCTTCAAAAGTATAAGAGTCGGAAGAACTGGTACATACCTCTTGGACGTCGTCGTTTTGGTCTTCGTGCGCCATGAGGCACAGATTTGCAGCTTCATCCTCCTCTTGGTCGGTTGATTCATCGCCGGAATCGCCACCCCAAGAGATGTAACGCCCTTTGCTTCTTGAAACCGGGCTTGTCCTTGCCGTGCTTGGCTTTGGGACACCTTGGCTTGATGTGGCCAATCTCGCCACAGCCGTAGCACTTGGGAGGACTGTCGTGCTTCCTTCCCTTCCGCTCAAACTCCTTCATGAACTTGTGAAACTTCTTGATGACGAGTCCAAACTCGTTGTTGTCATCGCTTGAAACTTCTTCCAACGTTTCCTTGGTTGCTTTAAGTGCTATACCTTTCTTCTTTTGTTCATCCAACGACGGGTTTAGAATAGTGGATTCATAAGTTTTGAGATTACCTCTTAACCCGTCGATGGTGACATTGGAAACTCTGATGGATTTGTAGATTGCATCGGCCTTTGATCTCCATTCAGGTGTGAGACTCCGCAGAATTTTCCTCACGAGATCCTTGTTGGTGTAAGTCTTTTTGAGGGCATGAAGGTCATTGATGATCTTGGAGAACTGATCGAACATGTCATCGATCTTTTCGCCTTCTTTCATCCTAAACATCTCGTACTCCTGTGTTAGGAAGTTAATTTTGGCTTCCCGAACTTGGTCCGTACCTTCGTATGTGACCTCCAGCTTGTCCAACATTTCTTTGGCGGTGGTACAACAAGAGATCTTGCGATAATCATCAGGGTTGACCGCGCAGTACAACATGTTGATTGCCTTGGCATAGTTCTCCACCTTTTTCATGTCTTCGGCATCAAATTCGTTCTCGGTCTTTGGGACCGTGGTTTCTCCCACTTTTTTTGTTGGGATTTGCTCACCATTTTTTATGACCAACCACAATTGGAAGTTGGTGGAACGGATATAGATTCTCATTCGTTCCTTCCAATAAGAGTAGTTGGTGCCATCAAAGAGTGGTGGCCTAGAGGTTGATTGACCTTCTTCAATTCCTGCATAGAGATATCTAGAAGAAGCGCCCATGATCGCTTTACTCTCAAATGGTTAAGTTTGGACGTGAGTTAGGCTCTGATACCAATTGTTAGAATAATAGACCAACGCTAGAGGGGGGTGAATAGCGTTTGATCAAGAAATCACAGGAATTAAAAATAAATAAAAGAGAAGTAAAGAGAAGAGTAAGAGGCACACCAAATTTACCCTGGTTCACCACAAGTTGTGGCTAATCCAGCCTCCCTAGAGACTCTCTCGAGCTACACTACTATCTTGTTAAGCTTAACGGTGCTTAACAAACCCGTACAACTTGAGAGTTCGAGTCCCACGAACCTCAACGATCCTTCGAAGGAAACAACCCTTCCTTCGAACAACAAGAGAAATATTTTCTCTTGTCAAGTGTCTAAGAACACTAAAAACACTTAAGAACAATACTCTCTTTTAGAGTGGATAATGAGTAACTAAGAACGCTCAAGAACACAACACAAGCTTCACAAAAAATGGCTCTCAAAAAGCTATGAATAATGGATGAATGATTTGCAATGAAAGAGTAGAAGTTGTGAAGTAATGTGATATGTAAAACAGACCCAAACACCCCATTTTATAGTGGAAAAATAGGCTGCGACGGATCAAAACATTTAAGGGGTGATTGGCACAATTTGTGGGATTTCATTAAATTTGGATCTGCTGAAATTCACCTAGACAGCGCTGTCCTAGGCTTGGACATCGCTGTTCTAGGCTTGATTTTTGAAAATTGGAAAGAAACGGTCATGCCAATAGTGATGTCCAAAACCCCTACAAAGCTGTTTTGGCCGTTGACTTCCAAACAAGGAAAGCTTTAGCCTTAAATTCCTTCCAACGGTCACGTGCCTACATCGATGTTCATTGCTTGAATATCGCTGTTTAGGCCTGACTTTGAAAGTGAAAGAAATGGCCTGACAGCGCTGTTGCTAGGTCAACATCGCTGTCAAAAACTTTCTGCCAATGCAATTGTTTTTGGCTTAGGTTGGATAGCGATGTAGAGAAGGCTACATCGATGTTCCAGATGTTATTGGAAGCCCAACCTTGGTTCAACAGCGATGTCTAAAATGAAAACCAAGTGTTTAAAACATTTGTTTGATGCATTTTGCTAAGAAATCAAGTAAAGTATCTTGAAAACCATGTCATTTAGTTGAAAACTATGGCTAGCCAAGTTTGCGCCGTTTCGCATAGTTTTCACTAAACTACCAAAAGTGAAAGGTGGTTTTTGAAGCATTTTTGTTGGAGAACTATTTAAATATGCCCAGAAGTAAAAACCAATCATAAAAAGTTGAAAACCACTTGGTTGGTTCGGTTGCCAAAAACCAATGCCGATAACTGAGAGCCGAAAGCCGGTTTCTGAAAGCCGGTTTCTGAAAGCCGAAAGCCGGATGGCTTGGGTTTTGGTTTGGGCGAACTCCAAGTGTTTTTAGGAATGTTTAAAACTTAAGAAAAAACATTTTTGAATATGAAAAAAGTATTTTGATGAAATTAGCCTAGAGAGCCAAGTTTTGAAAGTTTGTGTTGGTCTTGATCACATTAAGACCGACTCAATACAATTATAAGTCTTCGTTCTTGATTCTTGGTTCTTGGTTCTCAAATCATCATGCCATGTTCCTTCGCCTTTAATTTGCTCAGTTTAGTGTTTGTTGTCACGGCGGTTTGGCATTATCAAAATCTGTCATAAAACAAACACGGTTTAGTACGACGTGGGCGTAAACCCGTGTTCCAACACTTGTCGGGAAATCATCAAGGGTGGGAAGTATACTTATGTTGGCCCATCACGTTTGAATTCAACAAGTCTTCCCTCATACCTTTCCTTTTGAATCACCAAATCTCTCTCATGACCTGTCTTTTTGAATCACCAAGTCTCTCTCATGACCTGTCCTTTTGAATCATCAAGCCTTTCCTATTCAGACTTGTCCTTCTTTGAAATCATCAAGTCCTTCTCGATGACCTGTCTTTTTTGAGTCATCAAGCCTTTTCTTTCTGACCTGTAACTCTTTCAAAGCACCTAGTCTTCTTTTCAAACATGTCAATTATTTGACCTGTCCCTTTTGATCCATGGTAGTCTTGGTGTCAGACCTGGCTTTTCAGGGATTTGGAGTTTCCCCTCAAAACCCTTCACATTCCATTTTTAAAATTAAAATTTCCCCCTTCATCATTACTCTTTCCACGTGGCATCCCCTCAGCCTCCCACTTGTCGCCTCGAATTCCAACCCTTCTCTCTCTCTCTTATAAATACCCCTCCAACCCATCTCATTTCTTCACTTCACCTCCTTTCTCCTCACGTTTTGACCGGTCGACTTTCCCTCTCAAGCCTTCTGCCAAGTAAGTCCTCCAGTCCTCCTAGTCTTTTATTTCTTCCATCTTTCAATTCTTGTCCGGTTAGGATATTATAATGTCTTCCTCTGATAGTCAGAATGTGTCCGATCAGTCATATGGGTCAGGCTCTCAGCCCTCTTCCTTTTCCCACTCTGATTCTTCTTCTCCCCCTCCCACTCCTTTGATTCGTCGCCCCTCCCAACAATCTACCTCTCAGGCCCGGGAAATAATTGCCTAGGAGCCTGTCCCTTTGAACCAATTGCCCGGTTGGTTCAATCCCAAGGTCCTCAGTTGGAGTCAGTGGGAGGAACGACTGGGATCAATGGGCTTCCTAGCCCTTGTTGTCAGACCAGTGTTCAAGGAGTCTTCCAAAGTAAGCAAAAAGGTCCTGGCCGAAGTCCGTTCTGTTCTCCCACCGGGCTATAAACTTGATAAGTCCGTTTCGTTCTTATCATTAGAATCATAATCTAAACGTTACTGCACGTAAATAATATTTAATCATCTTATAAAATGTGTTTTTAATCAATAAAACTCTCAGTTTCGCTCTAAGAGTCATAAAAAAGGATTCCACATGAAATCATCATAAATCATCCATTTTATGTTCAAGTACTTGAGAAAAAGGGAATAAACCATCAAAGGATCATGATTTGGGCTTGAACGAGCTTCCGGGAGGGTAAAATCGACGTTCGGGCCAAAAACCAGTGAAATTAGGTCAAGATTTCGCATCAGCCGCGAAGCCCAAACGGATCAGGGCCTAAGGCATCCAACTTGGACGCTTGGGAGTTGGACGCCTTGGCTGGATTGCAGACCAAGGAAGACACGTGGCGAAATCTGGTTGGCCGGAGCAGCTCAAGCGTCCCGATCTGGACGCCTGGACTTGGACGCTTCGACTTGGACGCCTCAGTCTCTGTCCTATAAATACAGCGCGATTCTCCCCATTCATACCATCACCATCACTCCCATTCTCGGGAATTGAGCTTTATATTTCAGTTCTAAATTTTAGTTTAGCATTCTAGTAGTTTTAGAATAATTTTTGGAGAAATCCTACTCCCGATCTGTTCAAATCCGCTTGTACGGAAGTTTTAAGTTTACTTTATTTAATAAAATGCTATTTTAATTTATGTTTACATAGTATGAGTTAGGGTCCGGATCTCTGGGTCCGGACTAGTTCGGTGCTATATTTTGAATATTAATTAAATGTTGGAATGGTTAATCTATTGTTCTTGCCTTATTTCGTTAATTAATATCAGAAGATTTAATTAGCTATTTATTGAGAAAATACTCCATGTCAATTAACTATGATATTCAAGTGCAACGGATTAAGTACAAATCTAGAAATGGATGAGTAGTAATAGAAATATTATTATTCCAATTTTTTATTTAATATGATAAAATAGATCCAAATGATGTCCAGACCCTAGGTCTAGATCTATACTTAGACTATGTAAAATTAATTTATTATTTTTACTCTGCCTTTTTTATAATCGTTCCGAGAAGACTTTCATAAAACAGTCCTATCCTTCGCCTAATTAGAGTAGTTAAACTAATTCCCTTCGTCCACTCATCGAGAGATACGACACTCGGAGAGAAAACTAACCCTTTACTGGGAAGGTTTACTACCCGAAAAACTACAATTGTCAAATGGCGCCGTTGCCGGGGAGTGGCACTGTAACGCCCCGAAACATACCCTAGAATTATTATTAAATAATTATTCGATTAAACAAATTTGTTTTGATTATTATTGGGCTTTGGGCCGATATGAAATATTTTTTTAAATATCCAATATCAAAATCTGGATAAGTCTAATCGAGATAAATCCAATATGTGGACTATTTGTGTGGTCTTAATTGGGAACCTGAGTACAGACCCAAATCAAGAATAAATAAATTAATTAATTATGATGTGAACTTTGTAATGATTTATTGAAATAAATCATGAGAATAATTGATATGAATTAAATGAGAGAACCTTTTATGAGAAAGGTCAATTAAACCAATTTTGACTTTGTTAAAGTCAAACACCCAAAAATATGATGTCGGAAAAAGTATTACAAATAATTATGAAAAGTATATCGTTGGATAGAGCTCGACTGTCTGATCGCAACGATTCAATCGGATTTCAATTTGGAGAAAGTTGGACCAGAAAGTGTACCCCAATTGGGACCAGAAATTAGTCCCAATCAGGGACAACACTCCAATCGGCGCTCACTGTACAAACGGCGCACTATCCGATTTTGGTGACTCAGGAATATTTCATCCATGTTTTCTTCTCCTTCCTTCCTCTATTTAAGAAATCTTTATTCCCTCAATTCTTCACCAAATCATCCCAAAATTCTCTCTATTCTACTGGCGGAAGTTTCGCCGTCTTTTCACCGGAATCATCGTTTAACATTAAGGTAAGCCCCTAGATATATCTAATGACTAGAATGTTCATATAGGTCGTTTTTACGTTCATAAATGGTCATTTGGTTGAGTTTTGTGTTTGACATACTTGAAGAACTAAGAATCATAAACCATGAAATTGATGTTAAAATTATGAATTAATGATGCTAAAATGATCCATGAACCTTGGAGAACATTTTTATATACTTTAATTGAAGTTTGGTGAGTAAAAGTGATATTTCCGCAAGTTGGCTCGAGGTAGAAGACGATGGATAATCGATTATCAACTTGAAAATCGATTATTCATCGTTCTGCAGATTTTTGTAACAAAGCTGAGCAACAGTCGATTATCAGAATGTGATAATCGACTATCAGCCCTCTCTGAAGTTTGATAATCGATTATCAGAGTGTGATAATCGATTATCAGCCCATTCTGAACATCAGACAGTAGATTATCAGAAGTGACAGTAGACTGTC